GCTCAGATATATGACGATCCAACTCGATTATGGCTTTGATTTGGTCATCATCAGCTTGCAATGGCCGACCTGAACGTTGCTCATCTTTAAGTGAAAAATCTCCAGAACGAAACTTATCAAACCAATTGCGGCACTGTCTTTCTTTTAAGGCTTCCTCACCATATACGTCACGTAACTTTTTAGCAGCCTGCGCTGCGTTTTTTCCTTTGCGGAAATAAAAAAGTAAAATATGACGAAAATGCTCGTTATTGGACTCCATACGAAAACTGACGCCAAACTAACAATTTTTAACAAAAACACGTGCTTCTAAAGTCAACTAAGAGTGACAGCTTACAAACGTCAAAAGAAAAATATCATAACATTGATAGAAGGCATTCAAACAGACGCTTAAAGCCATCTATTGGAGCCATCGGCAATTACTTTTCGGGCAACCCAATATATGAGTACGCAATTTTACGTGAAAGTTGTAAACTTTATATTAAATTTGGACAAATAGTAGGTCGTATATTTCTTTTCCTCAGGATGAAGCGAACTAAAGCTGATATGATTGGCTGAGTCTGAATCTTTATCTTCTTCATGCGACCTCTCTTCTATGTGACTTCTCAGACTTAGTGATCAAAACATGGAAAAGATAGATGTCGAATTATTGAGATTCTCTCGTTATTCTTTGTTGCAGTAACTGAATACCCTTAAAACGTTAGAAATGATGGAATCCGCAAGCACAAGTTCATCTATTAGTATTTGTAAATTGTAAGTGGCGTTTTGTACACACATTTAATTTAACTATAATCTATAAGATGTGTTTTATAGGTTATGTCTTGTTCACAGATTCTGTAACCGCCGTATTCAAGTATTGCAAATTTTATGATTTACCTTAAACAGTATGTGTTTTAAATTTTAGGTGTAACAAACGCACACATTTATATACTTGTCCACGCTGCGGCATAGGCTATTGTGGGGTCGAATGTTACAAATCAGATGCTCATTCGGATTGTTCTGAGAGTTTTTACAGGCAATGTGTCGAGGACGAGCTAAAATCTCAGAAAAATGATCCTACTGTTGAGCAGAAGATGATGGAGATCCTTAAAAGAGTACACGAGGAAGATTTGGAAGATGATATTTTAGGGGAGGAGAATATTAACGAAGAGGATTCTCCATTGGACTCTGATGATGATCTGGAAGTAAATAAAAATGAAACTTTAAAGAATTACACATTCATTATTTATTTATTGTATGTTATTTGTTGCACATTATTTGTTATATATCAAGCGTGTACATATATTCATCCTTAGATATATTTTCCAGCTTCCCGATTTAGAAGTTAGATTACAGAATGTTAATCTTGATGATCCTGATGAGCTGTGGTCAGCTTTATCTAATACTGAAAAGCAGGAGTTCGAAGCGCTCCTGAAGAATGGAGAGGCAGAAAAATTATTGCCCAAGTGGGTCCCATGGTGGACTCACCGTCTAGAAAAAAAACTTGTTCATCTTATTGAAGAAGATGGTACAAATACTCACAGTGATTTAAAGTATCCTGTTTTAATAGACGTACCATTATTTAACGAACTTCAGGTAAAGCATCTAACGATATGAATGAATAAATGAATGTATTTTAAAATGATATAATTTTAGCTAGTGGGCGATTTCTCTTTTTTTTTTTTTTTTTTTTAGAAAGCATCTCCCTACGTATATTTTAATGTGATAAATGTGACATATGCTTATGCATATGTAGCTCTTTATTATAATGGAGATTACCTTGATTGTGCTGAGGATGCTACCAATGTCTTTTTAACTGTATGTATGAACATGAAGAACAATAAAGTGTTTGACAATGCAGAATCAGCGATTGAGTCGATTATAGAAAATGTTAAAAGCGTGAGTTTTTATATACATTATACCATATTACATTTATTGCATTATGATAAAGTATATAAATACATATATATTTATATCATCATAATTATATTAATGAACTTTGTGTGTGTGTGTAGGTTGATTATTTGCCACAAGATAAGCAAACATTAACAACATTAAAAGAAGCTGGAGCTTCTATCTTGCAAGGGCCAGCTTTTGAAATGAAAACTGTTTACACATCTGCGGCTCTCTCCGAACTACACAGATTACTAACAGCAGCCAGGAAAGAAATTTCAATGCACAAAGATACAACCAACAATCAAGAATTTACAAGGAGATTTTCTCAAAAATGTAGCCTCGACACCACTCTGTCGAAAAAAACTATACTTCTGTGTTTAAAGAAATTGGAGTACTATCTATCATGGATAAAAAGCCACGAGGCAGAATTGCGAAGTATCGTCGGTGATTGAAACTAAGAGTAGAAAAAAAAATATTTAGATATCATTTTTGTCTGTGAGTTATTTCTTCTGATTAAATATCCCTCCTTCGGAAAAAAAATAAAGATCTTTTGTTCCGTTTTTTAAGTGAAACTAACTGTGAATAAACCTAAAAATAGGGTCTATCGCTGCGTTTGTATATCAAACACGTGGAATTGGTCAGTTTTCACTGCGTATTCTTCATGTATGCACCAATCCGTACATACATGAGGAATACGCGGTGAAAACTGTACACAAGGCTAGATAGTTTTTCTCATGATTTACGAACGCACTCCAGCTGAGACTGCGATAACGATCGATAATGTCATTCGTGAGCGGCATGAGTTAGCGGCAGTAATCTGTGAATCAGTGGAGAAAGATGATGGCGGACGAGAAGTTGTTCTTCTCGAATGCCGTCCAACAACTGGCCAGATGTCTAGCTGCTATCAAGCCTACGCCATGGGAGAAAGTAAGCTGTCACTTCTCAAAACGACTTCTTAACTGAGCGATAATTTTTCAATCATCCCGCAAACGGTTGTCATTTTATTTCTGCGCTGGTTTTTGTGCATCGGGATCAACCACAGGAAACGTCAGCTGTCCTATCATGTCATGATATAATCTAAAGAACTGTGCATCATTATCAAGGATTATTATTCGATAGTTATATAATTATCTTTGACACGTATTAATTAACATCACTGTCATGTAAAAAATTGTTGAGTCACACTATGTAATAATTATTAGAAGGAAAGTCCAGGAAAACGCATAATTTGTATCTTATAGCATAGAGATATACTTGAAAAATTACATTTATATAAAAATCTAGAATACAATGAATAAAGAAATTTCTAAAATATTGTACAGTATATTATAAAAAGTTTTCCAAAGAACTTAACCCTTTCTTTTTATGACATGATTATAAAAGATTATAATTGATGACATATGACTAACATAATTTTCCCCAATACATAAAAACAACGATCTTTTATGTTTAATTACAGGTAGCCAAATTGTACAAGTTGTGTCCACAAGATTCTGCTCAGGGTGTATACCGTTTGGACCAGAGGGGTCAGGATGCGACGATTGCATTGGGAATTTATTTTCTGGAATCCGGCCTGCAACACAGAGATCGGATTTTACCGTATCTATTGAGATTATTACGTGGTCTTCCGAAAGCAGTTTGGCGGGATGAAGTGAGATGTTCATTGGCTGAGAGAGTTCCAGTCGCGGAACGCTTCAGCTTCTGCCTGAATACATTGTTGAGCGATGTGGCTGCCAGGTGCGAGCCAGCACGGGAAGAGATCATCTCGACGCAGGTCGAAATACTCGCGGTCTTGACCAATCTGATACGTGGATACAAGGATCAAAACAGTAACAGGGGTTTGCAGGCGAAAAGTAAATGCTGATTGAAATATAGACATATACTTGCGTAGAGAATTCCTAAAATTTCATGCCACGAGTCGAAACAGCTTTGCGAGATTTCACAAATATGTGAAAGTGTATAGCCATTGTATTTTTGTTCAGGCATTGTACAATATATATATANTGATGATATCGTATATATAAAAATATACAATATATATATATATATATATATATATAATACAGATCTGACATATACAGGTTTTAACTTATGTAGGATTTTGTGGAAAAGATTTCATCGAATACTGGCTGTACATCAGATTTTGCAATTGTCCGTAATATGAGAAGCTACATTTTTTTTTTCTAAATAAAGACACACCCAATAATTTCCTAAAAAGTTCGTCAGAGCCTATATTTAACTGTTACAATTCTAATATTACATTTCTAACATTACATCTCATTTCAGTATCGTTGTGCAAATGCCTGGTGCCGGTGCTGATTGGATTGGCTCGCTCGATGGGTCGCTTCGCGTGCACGGATCCGCCATTGCTCTGTCGTATCTTTCCACGACGGGAGACCCCGTCGCCAGCAGCCAACACAGAGAGCCGCTCGATGCCCGACAAGAAGCAGCACAGCTTCTCGAACTTCAGACCGATCATACCGCGATCGCTGAGCGGCAACTTCAATTCTTGCATCGACAATACGCCCCAATTGCTGTCGGCTTACGACAATCACGACTATCATTGCGGCAAGAGGCCGTCGTTGCAATCTTCCCTATCTGTACCATACGACCCCACGACGTACTTTTTCAGCCGCTATGGATCGAGCTTCAATCAGTTCCCGCAAATGCGCTGCAACGAGAGCCCCGAAAGAAGAGCCGGCATGCAGTTTACCGTAGTGCATCTGCAGAGCGTGCTAGCTTTGGCCAAAAAATTACTCACCAAGGAGATACTGACGTTTTTGGATGAAGAAGCGCAGCAAGTGAGTCTTACATCAGTTAATTATATATATATATATATATATTTATTTATTTATTTATTTATTTATTTACTTCAGGTTATACATGCCAAGAAAAGATTTGGTTTACAATTTTTTTATTTTAACCACACGCATTTATCTACACTTTATTTATCTACTATTTAGTTAGCTAAAATCTAACACTTCAATATCACATAAATAATCTCATTATTTCTATCCTATTCATCACAGCTTCATTATATCTAACCGGCACTTATCCTTACCTACCCTTATATATTTTCTATTTAGTTTCTGCACTAACACAAACAATTCATTACTTCTTTTTACTTTCATTCTTATTTTTTTTTTCTGTATCATTAGCTTTGTCTCTTCCCTCTTCTTCAACTACTTTTCTTTCTTTCATAACTTATATGCATTATTATATTTCCTTTATCTGTTTCCGACTCACCATCCCATATCTCTTTCTTCATTTTTCGTCCTTATCACTACTTGATTCTTCGAACCATTTTCTTATTTCGTGACGTTCTTCTCATAATTGTTTATTGTCAATCCTATCCTTTTCCACAGGATACACAACTTGTGTATTTCTCTCCCGATGCCAATATTTATTCGCTTTCTCCATATTTCCGCCTTAATTTAACTAAAAAAACTCAACCTCTATCTCTCATCTTTTTTTAAATTTTCCTTCCTTAAATATCAATGAATTACATTATTTATATTCTCTACTATTTTCTCAGTGCATACGATTAAAAGTTATCATAGTCCTCCAATCGCATAATCGCATATCGCAGGTTTACAGCTCCGGCCAAGTGCACATCTTCCCATATCGTACGTTTAGCGAGACGATGAATTTAGTGATGGTGGCATTGTTGCGCGAGTTGCTGCAGAATCAGCGCGACTTACCGGCTCCGTTCACGAGGGACGTGCAGGAGTTCGTCAAGGGTCTATTTCTGTCGGGTCAAACAGAGCTGCAGTCGCGACAGCACGACGCGAGCGAGCGTGAGGACATCGATACGAATTTCCGGACGGTGAATCGCTTCAAAGTGAACGTGATGGCCAACTCCGCGTGCGTTGACCTGCTGGTTTGGGCGATCGGTGACGAAACAGGTGAGCGCATTTCATTCATTGATCAGAAAGGAGACGAAAGCATCTTCTACTAAAATTGAGAATACCGCGTTTTTGTAATAATCGGCGGAGTTTCGCGAATATACTCTAAGGCCTGTTCTATGTCGGAACGCAGTCGATGGTCCAATTGAAGAATTAGTCCCTCGAAAGAGAATTTTCCTCATTTGACCATCGGCTGCAATTCGACGTATTGTAGAACAGACTTAAGTGCATGGTTAACGAAAAATCGATATTTCTGTCTGTCGCGCTTACGTACCGATTGTAAAGCTGTCACGTTATTTTTCCAGTATCCGAAGAATATGATTTGTCCGCGCTGTTCGCAGATATCGGTTCGATGCTGATCGGCAAGGGTATATCGATTTACCCGTGTGTTTACTCTCTTGTTAACATGTTCGTCTCCAGTAACCGCTAACAGAAATGTAGTCTTGCGCTAATTGTTCATTCTCGCAGTGTGTTTGATTGATTTTGAAGGTTGACATAGAACAAGCGAGCTATTAATCCCAAACTTGATCTTAACTCTCAGTAGTGATTATTAATCTTACTACTTGCAAATTTCATTCTTAAGAAATCTGGGAACTGTATATTATTACCGCATCAATTTTTTCAATATCTTTTCTACCCAAATTTGTAATATTATACGTGTACCAGACATAAGCTCATCTATCGATCAAAGGACTACACACATGTCCTGTTTTTTTTTTTGGCTTTTGATCTGTGCGGATTGACGCAGCTCTCACAGAATGATTGCAAACACGTCGTGACTGAGTAACCATTATCGATGTAACTTGGCCACACTGCGATTTATATATTCGACTACTTGCGTATCTATTATATCTGTTAACTGCATGTACTGTGGTCCTTAGGCGCGGACAGTTTGTGCGGACGACTCGTGGAGAAAATCAATTCCAATCATGGACCCAAGTTGGTGCTGGCCCACATGCCGTTACTCATGGTTTGCCTGGAGGGGCTAGGAAAACTGGCGCAGAAATTTCCCAACATAGCGAGCACTTCGATCTATTATCTGCGGGACTTCCTCGTTGTACCGTCGCCAATTCTTCTGAAGTTACATCAACAGCACAGCGAACGCACCATGAAAGAGCACCAGTTCAAAGTTCTCGGTAAAACTTCATTGAATTTATTAACTCTCCATCGGAAACGTCTAATTTAGCACTTTCTGTCAGCAATCCGGGGCTTTGAGGATCAGTTTTTACACTGTTCCAGATTAAAAATTCCAGTGTAAAAATATTAATAGATATTAATAATTTTCATATGGAAACTTTATGAAAGAGTTTTTACCATCGTAGAAATCGGATTGTATTTTATTTATTTTTTACACATTAAAATCGGAGCAGAAAAGATCCTTTTGGGCGCTATAATACTTGGGGGTATGTATTCCGGAAAAAAATAATATAATGATATAGGCTGCAAAAAGTTGAATTATTTTAATATCTGAAGAAGATCTGACGAAGATTTTTACGGTGAAGAAAATTAAATTTCATTTGAGAAATAAAAAAAATTTCTTACAGCAAATTAATCGTTAAATTCAGTTTACTTTGATCAAAATTAGTATACATGTGCAAAAATGCAAAAAATAAAAACACAGTATTTACAATAATACGTGTGGTGCTCTTTGCACACTGATTCAGCTCACAATGTGCACAGCAGTATATAGTTTTTTTATTTAAAAAATTTTTAATATCAAAAAATCTTTTACAAATCTTTATATATTTATTAAAATCATTTAAAAAATTATATAAAATAATCTAAAAGTATTCCAAGAGCAAAATATTTATGTATTCATTGAAATTAGTGTCAAAAGTATATAAAGCAAATCCATATTATTGATTTGCAAACGTACTTATATAATACTTACAATCCTGCTGCCTGAGAGTCCAAACGCATATTCTGTCATCAAAAAACTAGATTTTGTAACCTCTACAACATATAATTTCAATCTTTAAGTTTTTTTTTTTTTTTTTTTTTTTTTTTTTTTTTTTTTTNTACCATCTAATTGTCCTAAAATTCACAATCAAAGAATCGACCTGTGCCTTCCCACATTGCCGGCGGAGGGTTAATGTTATCCATGAAATGATTACTTAACGTGTGTGCTAACCGTACACACAGTTCAAGGGAAGGAAATCAGCGACATGAAACAGACGACGTCGTCGGTGCAGACGGCCTTTGAGAAACTTCGGGACGCGGCCATTGGCAATCTCTGCATCGCCTTGGAAGCCGCGCACTCGGTGAACCCGGATTGTGTACCGGCGCTCGTAGCCAGTGTCTCGAACAGATTGTTCACCGCGGACATATGCGACAGGTGTGTCCCGACGAAGTTGTAGGCAGTTGTTCTAACAAAAAGCGTACTCAGTTGGATATCTCCTTTCGGTTTCAGTGAAAACGATGAGAAGTCGAACAGCGAAGTTATCTCGAAGAACATCGTCATCATGTTGGGTCACGTGGCTGTGGCGCTGAAGAACACGCCAAAGACGATGCGCACGATCTTCCCGTTTTTCCAGCAGCTCTTCTGCCGCACCCCCAGCGACCTGGATTTCCTCATAGTTGATCAGTTGGGCTGCATGATCATTGCCAAGTGTGAACCAAAGGTCAGTGAGTCGCTCGTAAATGCTGTTAACATGGCTTTTCACGCGAATGAATACTTGTTGCGCAGATTTATGAGGGGATAATGCAAATGTTCTCCATGTCACTGGGCTCGAGTACGGCCACATACGCGGCGAACGACGACCGCAAGCAGTACTGTCACGTCTCCAAGGCGGTAACGAACGCGTTGGCGAACATAGCAGCGAATCTGCAAGGCGAAACCGAACTGGACGACTTGCTGCTGCATCTTCTGGAGTTGTTCGTGCAGTTAGGGCTCGAGGGTAAACGCGCTAGCGACAAGATGCCGAACAGTATCGCCGCAACGGTAAGACCAACCTGCAACTCTTGCCGTTCAAAGCTGGATATAAACGAACTTTGAATGCGAACTTTCGTTGTTGCAATTTAGAAAGTGTACACGCCATGACGAACGATTTGGTGGCTCGTTGAGGAAAGTTCGTACGTGTTTAGAATGTTCACATTATTTTGTATTATTATTTACTTCATATTACTTGATTACATTCGCTGTTGTTTCGCTCGGTATATACTCTCGCTTTAACTCAGGAATTAACTGGGAAAGAAATCTCGCGCGTGTGCAGAAAGCAGCGAGCAGTGCCGGGAATTTGGGAGTGCTTATTCCGGTGATCGCGATACTGGTGCGACGTCTGCCACCGATCAGGCATCCGCAGAAGCGGCTCCTGAAGCTGTTCAAGGATTTTTGGTTGTATTGTGTCATAATGGGTTTCGCTGCCGATCATCCCTCGAAATTGTGGCCGTCCGAGTGGTACGAAGGCGTTAAAGAGATCGCCGTCAAGTCACCCTACCTCATCTCCCAGACCAGCGCTCGCCTCGAGATGCGAGAATTGCAGTACACGTCAGCGGTGCGCAACGACAGTGTCTCTTTGAATGAATTACAGGAACTGCGCAGCCAAGTATTGAAGATCAGCACCCGGTATGAACGCCACACCTTTCAAGCTTTGATTTAGTCTGCATTAGTATGCTGATTGCTTGGAAAATATATATTTCATGCTCTATAGAAATAATATTTCTTATAAAGTTTTTATATATAAATATTATTTACTATTATTTATTCTTGCCTTGCTTTCAATTTATAATTTTGTATTTTCCATAAGAATACAAATATTTTACACTCTTCCTACATTCTGATTGCAAGAAATTAGCATTGTAGCGCATTAAGGTAAATTCACTTCGATTTGAAGAGTGGCTAACATTGTTTGCGTTCTTCCTTCAGTACGAACGACATATCGGCTTACGTGACTAAGCTGCAGTTCGCGCAGTGCACCTACTTGTTGTCCGTCTATTGGTCGGAAACATTACGAGTGGCTAACAGCCCCGAGCCCAGTCTGCAGCCGATAATGGAGTATCTGTGCGACACGGATCTGCAGAAGGATAAAAGCGGCATGTGGCAGTGCATATGCTGTGTAGCAGACTCCGTCTTCGCGAAGTTCAAGGATGTGATGCAGCGCAAGCCGAAGGACGAGCAACGTGAGCGAGAGCTCGAGAATCACGCGCAGTTCCTATTGGTGCGCTTCAATCACGTGCACAAGCAAATCAGGCGGGTCGCGGACAAATACCTGAGCGCTTTAGTAGACGCTTTCCCGCACCTGTTGTGGAACTGCAAGGTTCTCTGGAGTATGTTGGACATATTACAGGTACTTTTATCCACCATTATGCGCCTCAATTCAGCCGTGTGCTTCTTTTTTCTCTTCAGTCTTCTTCATTCGGTTCTTTAAGGTAATTGTAGAGTGCCGTATTTTCAGTGGCACATCAAGGGGCCCACTTGTAAATTTCATATTTATCAGTCAAAATTACGTTCTTATACATTTATTTTACTATTTAAATAGTGAATGTTAATTTAAAACGAAATTGAAGTAGACATATGTATTACAGATACGAAAATATTTTTACTTATTAATGTTATTTTTGTGAATTAGTTTATAGTCTAATAGATGAATAAAAACGCACCAATGATAGAAAGAGATGTATAAATATTTATGTGCATATATATATTTCGAGTATAAGTTACGAACTTTGCTGTATTTTCAAAATAATCTGAACTTTCTGCATAATGCCTGTACATATCAATACTACGGTAGTTTTTCATTCGAATTTTAAATATGAAGAAATTACAAATCAAAGTTAAAAATTTACCTGAACGAATAAAAAGTGTCGTCTTTAGTTGCGAATATCCCAACTTTTGAATGGCCAGTCTAATTGCGTCAATAATTGGGTTATATTTAAATCTATGTAAGAAAATATGCGTAAACAAATCTCAAGAAATTCCTCGAAAAACTTATTTTATGCTAATCATCGTTCATCTTTGGTCAGGCTCGTCGGGGACTAACTTTTGTACACTTGCAGATTTTATCGTATTCGTTGCAACTTGACCCGAACGAAGAGAGTCCTAGTCTAAGAATACCCGGCACACCGTACAGCATTGAATTGATGAATACCATCGAAGCAAGAGAAGTATGAATTGTTCGGTTATAATTTGTCACACGATAGAAACGCGTTCTACGATCATTATTTGAATTGTAGATTATCGTGAAGGATTTCACCGCGAGATGTAAGGGAATAGTGCAGGAGGCTATGAAGTGGGCGCCGCAAGCCACCAGGTCGCATCTGCAAGAATACATCAACCAGATACCGTCTTCCGGAATGTGGCATCATTCTGGCTTGTCGTTGGCCATCGACTCGGTCCTCGAATTTGTGGACACCGCAATTCCCACAGTGGCCCCGGCAAATGTACGACCTTTAAGTGTATTTCCGCGCGCAATTTCCGCGTCAAGTTCTAAGATATATTAACGTGGTTCTCCACATTAGGTCTTTCTCGCTAAATTAGTGTACACTTATAGAATTAAAAAAAAAAAGGATACTCAGTTAAGAAACTTGGTCGAAGAAGGAGAAGAAGGGAATCAACTAATGCAAACCAGTTGAGCGAAAAAAGAACAGTTGTTATTGTTAACTCGTTAATTGAATTAACGGAGCGATGTAAATTTCACAGACGAACTCCTTGGACAAGAGACCACGCGGTCCTAAAGGCGCGAGCTCGTGGCTCCTGTCGATGATGTCTACGAGATCGTGGCATGCCGGCGAAGTAGCGGGCATGCTCGCCCTCGCGCGTACCGAGTCGCCGACGGTGGAGATGTCGTTGGAAGAGAGCAGGGACAAGGTCGTCGACAGATTGATCGAGGCCGTTCGCCGCGCCTGTCAGGATCGCAACGATGCCGCCCATCGTGGAGCTCTATGGCGTGCCACTGCTCTGTTAATATCCATGCCTGGTGAGTTGACGGATGCCGGCCGAGCCGGTAATTTTGTCGACAATTATGGCGTTTGTTCGCTCGATTTACATTTTAATCAGGGAGAAAGATAATGATACTTTTTATTGGACGCTAAAATTGTAAAGAAAATTAAGATAAACGATATGATGGACAGAAGAGACTGAAAGGCGTAGTAGTAACAGCTGATTTTATCGCCTGAGAAATGTGCGAAAGATCGAACAACAAGAATACAATTAGAATAAATAAAGGCTCGAGTCTTGGTGGAGGCAATATTTTTCGTAACACTTACTATAATTAGAAATCAAATATAAGTCGCTTTACGGGAACGCGTCTAAAATAATTATTACTCTGCGATAGAAAAGATCAGTTTAGCGTTTGAGGGAGATCTCCGATTGGCGGACGAAAAATTCGGATTTATGTTTAATACATGACTAACAAGTATCTTCCTACACAAGTAATATTAATATTAAATAATAACTGTATATATATATTGTGACCCGGACCCCGCCGGTCGGTGGACGTTCGCCCTTACTCCGGCCGGTGGGGTGGTCGTGCGGTGTCTCTGGTCGACCGTGTTCGATAGCGGTGGCCCTGGTGTAGCTCGCCGGATGCCCAGGCGTTCTTGATGTAGGTGTGAGTGTGTAGGTATGCGAATGAGAGCGCGAGTGAGTGAGCGAATGAGTGAGTAATTGTTCAAGAAAAAATTCGTTTATTATCCCACGTTGTTTTGTACAAGATCTTATCGACGGATCGGGCTTTAATCTCGTCGTTTCAAACCAGCTACTATTCAGGTGACAATACTGGCGACGGAATCCCGTGTTTACATTATGACGTCGGTGTTATCTTCTCGGAATCTATTGGGAGCAGACGTGACACGCTCGGCCCGTGGAGCTCGCGGTGTTAGCGGTGAGCGGGCGCGGTATTGATGTTTCGGCGCGATGTGTTGACGGTTCGCGGTGTTTAAATTCGACGGTTTCGCATCGGAGTGCAAGACGGCGGAATGCATCTGCTAGACTCGGCGTCGCGGTGGTTGCCGCACGTGGAGTGCTCGCGTCGGTCGACTCCCGGAGCGGAGGGCACGCGGTATCGCGCCTCCTTACAGGAGCGGTGGAGTCGGCCGGGCGAGCCTGGCCAATGTGCAGCCGGCGGCAGTAGATTCGCGGTTTCGCGGCGGTCGGTGGTACCTCCGGTGAGATGCGGACGGAGAGGCACGCGTTGTCTCTATATTCGCGGCGCGATACGCGGAACGGTACTCCGGGGCGCTCGCATGCCCCGGAGGCGCAAGACTCAATAACCGGAGTGGAGCGGTCGAGGTTGAGAACACTCTGTTGAGAACACTCAACAGAGGCGGCGAACACACCGCCCCTACTCGTGCCGATCCCCAAGTCCGCCACGGGCAAGAGGGCCGGGAGCTTCCGGTGGAGACGGCGAACACACCGAGATGGAGGTTGAGGAGTCCGGTGCCCGCGACTTCCACGGGAGAGACAGCGTACGCACTATCTCAGACTTTCCGGATGGAAGGATGTCGAGTCGGCTGCGAACTCACAGCAGTGACGGCGTACGCACCGTCGCTGTCTCTCGACCTGGGGATCGGGATCCGGAGCAGCTTCGATCTTACGATCCGGCTGACTCCGGCGGAATCAGTTCTCGATACTGCGGCGAAGCGGTCTTTTATACCGCTCCCGAGACGTTTTTCCGACACGTGCGCGTTTGACAACAACAATTGTTGTTGTCAACGTGTACACGTGTCGGACGTGTGCGCCGCGCGTGGATTTGTTTATTGGCGTGAAGCGCCGTTCTGCGGCCGACGGATGGTCGGTCGGCCGCGATGTTTGCCGGGGGAAATGCATCGTCGCAATATATATATATAATATTAACTGTATTAATATTAAAATCACATCATCCATGCTTAGACTCTCATAGGTCCATTTAAAGGATCTTCTTCCTTGGTTAATTTCGAAAATAGAGTATTTCCTAAATTATTTCGCAAACAATAGAACAAATTGAAAAAATACGAATCGCTAAAATCTACTGAAATTGAATAAGATTTCTCAGTGCAATTTGGCGACTGCCAAATTACCAAGGCACAATACTGCACTAACGTCGCCATTTGCACTTTCAGGGATACACAGACGATTACTGAACACAGTCGCGTGCTCGCAAATAGAACTATTCACTACCGCGGTCATGACCACCGCGGTTGAGTGTTGGCAATGGATCCTCACCGTACGGCCGGACTTGAAGTTGCGTTTCCTGCAGGAGATGCTGCTCGCATGGCAGTACACCGTTGATAAGCGGATGGGTCTGTTCGCTCCGAACGAGGAGGAGGTCAGCCCTCTCGCGGTCTACGAGGGCTGCAAGCTGGGCCCGAATCCGCCTCACATAAAGCCTCACGATATCTGGGTGACGTTCATCGTGGAGCTCATCGAGACGGCCAAGTACTGTTGCCAGGAGACGGTCGACATGATCGCCATGCTGCTGCATCGTTCGTTACCCATGACCGTCGGCGCATCCGGTGAGGAACCTGGAATCAACCGGCACGTCGCCGCGGTTGGCGTGCGCTTCAAGCTGCTCTCGTGCGGCTTGGTGTTACTGCAGGGTGACGTTCTGCCGAGGTAGTGACATAAACCCCCTCTGGTCATTTTTATCGATAAAAGTGACTTCTAAAAGTGGCTTAGGAACCATTCGATTGGCCGAGAAGCTACATTAAAATTTTTTTTTTTTTTATCGATAAAAGTGACTTCAGAATATGGACTTTTGTTTTTGAATAACCACAAGCACGATCGAAATTTATCTGGACGTTGCAGGACCTTGAGCAAGAATGTCCTGCGAGAACGCGTGTATTCCAATTGCCTGGACTACTTTTGCCGGGAACGCCAGTTGCCGACCCAAGAGATCGACCAATTAGGCGAGGATATAGTTACGCTCATACGATTTTGGCAGGTAAGATGGATTGCATCGCTTCGTAAGTTAGTAAGTATAAAAACAATGGAAGAACTAAAAAGTGAGGGAGGGAGTGAACATAGAGGAAGAAATAATAAATAAGGAAAATTTCAAGTATGATAAAAAATTATTGGTAGAAGAATATAGAAAGGATAGTGGTATTTAAGGATAGAAAATCTCTAGAAATTTAAGGGCGGAAGTTAGGGTTTTGATTAAATTAAAAAAAAAAAAAGAAATGTAACCTCTTTGTGATACTATACGTATATTTCATGGACATTTCTTCGTATTTCTATGACAAAGTACCATCCGCCATATATATATATATATAGCGCTGTTCTCCTATATTTGTGACAGGTGATGCATAGCGACAAGAAGTATTTAATGATGACAGGGGCGGATAACGAATTCGAGATAGTGACCTCCCAGAGTTGCACAACCGCGATGATCGTGCCAAGTGAGACGATCGGCTCATTAGCCGCTACTCTGGCTCCCACGCCCAACGAATACTCCAAGTCGTCCAGTAACGTGTGGATGAACACTATGCCGATGTCGACTAGCAGTAATACGTTGGATAAACGCAGCAATCGCAGCAAACGAGTCATGAACGCCAGTGTTTTTGTGAAGGACTACATCAAAAAGAGAAATTTGATCCTCGAGCTGTTGGCGGTCGAGATCGAAATGCTGCTGGTGAGTGAGTTCGATAATTCACGGAACAACGATTTATCGTCGTTCGGGCGAAAATTCGTCTTTAATCGTGGCGACCACGTCCAGGTCTGGCGCAATCCCAGCGGTAGGCCAGAGCTTGCGCTGCAAGGGGAGGGAAGTATCGCGGACTGGCGCGCCAAAGCGATGAACGATCGTTGGCGTGAGTACACGCGACTCGCCTGGGAAATCAGTCCTGTCTTAGCGATATTCTTGCCGGTGCGATTGAAGAACTCCGAGGTCATCATCAAGGAGATTTGCGGCTTGGTGCGCCTTAAACCCGTCCCTGTCATGCATGTTTCGGAAGCGTTGCAGTACCTCGTCACGACAGATACTCTGCTCAACGATGTACCTGAAGTAAGTACCCTCGTTGTCAATTAGATGACGATACTTGTGTTAGCTGGAGCGACGGTGAGGTTGCGACGTGGCCTTGTAATTTATTCACAAATTAAGATTTTAATGTAATAAGAATAGCAACAAAAGAATAAAGGAAATTCAAGATGAGAGAGAGCAGTCAGGCAGAACGTTTGAAGGCAATAGTCGAGTCCGAAAATCTCCTGGCTAACATACAGACCAACTGAATTAAAACGTCTATAATAGGATGAAATTTCATATAAAAGATCTCGCCTGAACGGGCTATTTTTCCAAACGATGCGTACAAACAGAAAGCTCGGAGAATTCTGGGACAAACTTTTTTTTTTAATTATGATTAAGCTCGATAAATATAAGAAAACAAATCGAGAAATATTCGTTTATTCTCAAACGTTCGTGCAATTTGCAATTTGCGAAATTACTAATTGAAATCTCAGTTAGTTTATATGTTGACATGGGCGAGAGTGTCTCCGATCCAAGCACTGGCGTACTTTTCGCGACAATTCCCGCATCATCCTATCTCGGCGCAATACGCGGTGCAAGTATTGGACAGTTATCCCGCCGACGCCGTGCTCTTCTACATACCTCAATTGGTTCAAGCCGTCCGTCACGATACCATGGGTTACGTTATCGAATTTATCAAGAAAATCGCCAAACGGTCGCAGGTGCGTGCGAATTGAGGTGAAATCGAATGGAGCATTAAAGTCGTTCGTTCCTTTAGGTGGTGGCGCATCAACTGATCTGGAATATGCACACGAATATGTACATGGACGACGAGAAGCAAGTCAGAGACCCCTTATTGTACGACATTCTGGATTCATTGTCGAAAAATATCCTGAGCGCACTGTCCGGCCCGGCGAAACAGTTTTACGAGAGGGAGTTTGACTTCTTCGATAAGATCACCAACATCTCGGGTGAAATCCGACCGTATCCCAAGGGGCCAGACCGTAAGGCTGCGTGCTTGGAAGCTTTGGCAAGGGTGCAGGTACAGCCCGGTTGTTATCTACCATCGAATCCCGAAGCGATGGTCATCGACATAGATTACAAGAGCGGTACACCCATGCAGAGGTACGTTTCGCAGGAATGATAGTTAACTTTCGACTTCGTTAAATTAATTAACTTTAGTTAATTCTTTATACAAGTTAAAATGAATATCATTGCCCTGGTTTGCTTGCACTATAAATTAAGAAAAGTCAATAATAGTGTCAGCAGAATTTTGTCTCTTTGAGCGCTAACGTCTTTACATGGAAGAACCACGAAATAGTCAGTACTTTCTTATAATAGATAACTTTATTCAGCGCAAATTTAATTTAAAAGTTAATTATGCAAAACGCCGGGCTTTATGTGCATGCATAATTTTAATAATTTAATATTAACTTTTAATTCAGATTTGGTCGAAAATTGCATATTGTTGTGTGACAAGATATTACATAACTAATTCATATTTTTAGTGCCGCTAAAGCGCCTTTCTTAGCGCGTTTCAAAGTGCAAAGATACGGCATTAACGAGCTGGAGAACATCGCGTTAGCGGTGTCCACTAATGGGAAGGTTGAGAGCAAGAGGGAAGCGGACGAGCAGACTTGGCAGGCTGCTATTTTCAAGGTCGGCGACGATGTCAGGCAAGATATGTTAGCTCTGCAAGTAATCAGCATCTTTAAGAACGTTTTCCAGAAGGTCGGCCTGAACCTATTCCTATTTCCATACAGAGTCGTCGCCACGGCTCCTGGGGTGAGACCACCTGTCTTCAATAAGCACTTTGTAATAAATCATCATTATTCAATTGCATCCGTGTGTGTGTTACCCAGTGCGGCGTGATAGAGTGCGTGCCGCACGCGACGTCGAGAGATCAGCTCGGCCGCACGACCGACAGCGACATGTATCAGTATTTCATCACGCAACACGGCGACGAGACGACCAAAGAATTCCAGAACGTGCGCCGCAACTTCGTCAAGTCGATGGCGGCGTACAGCGTCATTACTTACCTGCTGCAAATCAAGGATCGCCACAACGGCAATATCATGATTGACACGCAAGGCCATATCATACATATCGACTTCGGCTTCATGTTCGAGAGCTCGCCCGGCGGCAACTTGGGCTTTGAGCCGGATATCAAGCTGACCGACGAGATGGTGCTTGTGATGGGCGGCAAGATGGAGGCCGCGCCGTTCCGTTGGTTCGTGGAATTGTGTGTGCAAGCTTTCCTCGCGGTCAGGTCAGTTTGATCTCAGGAATCCACCAGGGCTCTGTGATCCGCTTCACGACGAATGAAGTAGAATTTAATTGACCACCAATCAGTTGACACATTTGCAGCCACTGACATAGTATTGTGTCCTTTTATATTTTAAGTTCACATTAATCAAAAAATGAATCTTAACAGAGTTGAAAAATTAGTTTTAAAATTTGTTTATGTATGCAAATACTGCAGAATTCAGAAATGTTTTTAAAATTTATACAGAAAGAAATATTAAATTGTGTTCTTATGTACAATTAATTTTCTTTTCATGTAATAGTCTTATTTATTTATTATTTTTATGTACAAATGTTCGTTTAATTTTTTCAAAAATCAAGTAAGAAATTTTTCAAGTTCTTTTTAATTCTAACACTCTACGTTCGTTTGATTTTCTCTGTTTGAATTTGTAACCGGTAGATCTTGTTAAGTTTCAAATAACAGTAGTAATTATAAACATCTTAAAACAAATTTTATACTTTTTAATTTTAACGACAGAACTCTACGATTTAAATTTGTTATACACGGCTTTCAGCTTTAGAAGGGTGAACAAATTACCGGCTGCTAAGATGTTAAAAAATTTTTGTTTTTTTTATCCATTGATTGGTTAATTAAATGCTATCTTACCTGCCAAGTAGGATTTTGCAACGCAGTCCAAGAGGCGCGCACACATACACACACACACGCTGTGTCTTGCCCAATAACTTTGTTCTGCTGTTCTTGCAGGCCGTATCAGGAAGCGATAATTTCACTCGTCTCTCTCATGCTCGACACGGGATTGCCGTGCTTCCGCGGGCAGACGATTAAACTGCTGCGTAGCCGATTCGTGCCGACTGCCACCGATCGAGACGCGGCGATCTTCATGATCAATGTAATACGTAACAGCTACCTCAACTTCCGTACGAAAACTTATGACATGATACAGTATTACCAGAATCAAATCCCGTATTAAACTACCGGAGAGTCCACTTTCCTGTTCCTAATGAGACCAGTCCAATCTCCGCCTTCTCCTCTCCTCTTCCTCGTAATCGTTAGTTGGTGATGCGAACGGGTTGTTAGGTGTGTATGTCGCAGTGAACACGCTGCTTCATTCTGTGAATCTATGTACAAATACGGTGTCGGTGTCAATACTATTTTTAGTCCCACGTGTATTTTACGAAAGCGTTTCGCTCTGTATGTATGTAATAATGTATATTTATCTACGAAACTATACTTATATATATATATATATATATATGAGCTATATATACATATGTCTGCCTTACGCGGCATATCCATATATGAACACATTCCTGTTTATTAATTTATGCACTGTTAACGATTGAATTAAATTACTTTAAGTGTGCAGTTTACTTGAAAACCTTTCACCTTGCAGCACACATTTTCAAGAAGAAATACGTTTGGTTTTTTCTTCTTATAAAGCATCACAGACAACTCAGTGGCATCTTTCTTGCAACATTGTATGCGACTATTTATTTGTTACTACTTTAGAGAATATAAATAAGATTGGACACGATTTACATTAAATAGCTTAGTTTATTTTCTATATACTAATGGTTAAGACAGCAATTCTTTCATTGGGCAACATTGCACTAATTACTCGCAATATGGCAGTCACTATTGTTGGTTTAACACTGGTATTAATCCCACCTGTAATTTTTTCCTGGAGTAAAATATTTCTTTTCTGTAGAGGGCGCACTCCTAGTTAAAGAAAATATATATAATAATAATAACTTAAGAATTTAGGAGTAAAAGTATTTGATCCTGTAAGACTCTATCTCTCTCTCTGATGATATATATTTCAAAATTATTTTAATAGATATTACTGATTAAGAGATTAGTACTAAATAGTAAGAAAGTACATGTATCAATTTTAGTTCTTCTAAATAATTTCAAGGGCAAATTATATATTTACTCTATAGCTGTAATCTGTTTTGTTGTGCTAATTACTAATGGTGGTTTTACTTCTCGTCTCGCATCGTGAGTGTAATAGTAAATTTGAGAAGTTTTATGATAAGGACCTCCTGGTATATGCGGTGGTGGTTGAGTACGTTCAGATTGATCATCAGCATATCTATGTGGTAGCACAATTGGTCTCTGCAACAAAGAAATAAATGTTTAAGCAACAACCACCGAATTGCTGTCTAAAGCCGTTTCATCAATTTCAGCCCAGTATATTCATCAAATAACTGGAAGAAATCTGTGGTGTGGTTATCGTGCCTTCACCTTTGGTCAGAGTTTTTACATCTGAGTATAAACATAACGAGGGATGCTATTAACAGCGAAATATGTTGTATGGAACAAATAAATCATGCAACTTGCGATAAGTAAAAAAACTCAAATGTACAAAAGGTTATGTAATTGAATATTTTACTTACACCTCGACCGATATCGCGAATCAGCTTTAATATCCATGTAACCGAACGATGTTCCACCGGGGGGGCCGGCATGCTCTATCAGTGATCTGACTGATTTACTAAAAACAAAACAATTAAGCTGAAGATCTCTCAGACCTGTATCGCTCAGCTGCACTATTTGAAAATAAAACGATAAGCTGACTAGTCGCCATGTTGTACTACTTGAAAAAGTCGACCTAGCCGTCGAGTCGTACTACATTTCTTCAGTGGCGGTTCGTAGTGGGAACTTTGGACATCAATTTTTTTACGGATTTTATTTTTTAGACCCGTTATTTTTATTAGTTAAAAAATGTGAAAATTAATTTAAAATATTATAAGATTAGTTAAAAAAGTACCTTAAATGTCGCTTCTCAACCAATCAGATAATTTCTAAGCCACTTTTACAGGCACTTTCATCAATAAAAGAGAGTTCAGAATACGGACCAAAGGCTGCGGCGAGTCGCTATCATTTTCAAATAATAGGACTTAACGATTAGTCAGCCGCCTTTTTATTTCGAAATTGCATGGTTTTTGCGGCAAATCAGAGGACATTCTTACTTTCAAGAAGTATGATTCAGAGAAAAAAGGATAACTATAAAAGATAAAAGGAATTGTTGCAGGATTATATTTGGCATATTAATTTGTATTTAATTATTTTCGCAACATAAATGCTAAACTGAACACGGGTTAAATAGCGAGTAGATATCGCTAATTTCGACTAATTTGATTGAATCATTAAGGAACTTATCCGGCTTCGCATTGACGATGAATTGAGAAACGGTCTTCATTTTCAAAATGTGCGAAATTAACGCAAATTAACATATAAGTCGTATTTTCCCGCGACTGCGAAATTGTTCATCGTGCAACTTCGTATTACATTTTCAATCCTGTGCATGTAATTAATCGTATCCGTTACTTTGTAGATGCGCGATGGCGAAGCACAGCGGCGGTGAGAGATGACGTTGAGCCGTGTTGACAGGAGTGGTTGACAGGAAGAGGGATAAAATCGGACCGGCGCGATCGAACGACGATTTATTGAAAGAAAAGGAGAGATGCGTCGCGTCTGCGACGAGATCGAGGCACCGATCTCAAGTAACGTGCGTTCACACCGCAACAACAGGCCGGCAAGAGAAAGAAGATCAGGTGAAACGACATATGGAGCGATCGCATTCTAGGAAGCAGATAAGGATCTTTAGGAAGGATTGACCGAAGGAGGGATTTCCTGGCACAATCTTATTTATACGGCTTTTTGCTAATAATAATTACACGAGGTACGTTTGATTTCAGCATTTTGCTAAGTTCATTCATAAATCGACATATATGGCGAATAGGTTAGAGTTGTTGTATCAGACATTAATATATATTTAATACCGCAGCCAGTAACGAAGGAAATACGGCTGACGAATGTGCGAAAAATAACAATGAATAAACATTGTATATGAGGAAGTATGAACTTGTAACAGCTGGAGCTATTTTTTGAAGAATACTATTGTATGCAGCGACTCCTCGTCATTGAATTAAGAGTATGTCTGTGAACATGTTGGCAGAACAGAATGTGATCATGGAGTCTACTGACGCTGGCGATACAGTACCACTGATTGGTTTTATCGCTACTGACGACGGCCATACACTTTTAGCAGTGGCTGGTAAGACAAAATCATGACATTGTAGAAAATCATACGAATAATTAACATTTATAAAGATGGAAATCATTTTATTCTGTATGCATAAAAATTAAAGTTTTAATTGCATACTATTTGTGTGATCGGAATGTTAAACGATTAAATATGAAAAAGCTATTATACATGATGTAATGTGATATGCTTAATCTTTTTTCAGAAGATGGCACCTTGGAAATTATGACAGCTCCTATTGCGCTGATGCCGCAAAATAACATGATACCCTCGACGCTGGTAAAGACCATGGATGGCAATTTTATCTTGCATCCTGTATGTATCTGCTAGAATATTTTTAGGCCGTGAAATAGTACAATCTTTTTACTTCGTTAAATACAACAAACGTTTACAGTCTATGTTCCAATTGAATTTGGAAAGTGTGCCGGGCGTGCAACAAAGCAATCTACTGCCAACGCAGCGATTTGACGATGCGCCTGTAGTTGTTGAGCAAATGAAAATACTTCAGGATGCGAATGAGTGTGCTGTCGCGGAATCTTTGTTACCAATCGGGGATGATATATTATTGGACAAACGTGAACAAGCGACAATCGACATTTACGACGAACTTGCAGCGGCGCAGAGTACCTTAAGAAAATCACTCGGAAGACCAAAAAAGACTGTGGTATTAACAAGTGTATGAAAAATACAGAAATATTTGTGTCTGAAAAATTCTCATCTGGGAGTCATGTGCTGTTATTCTTGTTGTAGAATGCGCAGCCACTGAAGTGTGACATATGTAGACAAGAGTTCACTAAGCAGACGTTATACCGCAGACACATGGAAAATCACGCTGAAGAAAAGCCGCACAGGTGTCCAAAGTGTCCAGCATCGTTTAATATACCGGTGAGTCACTGTGTGATCCTTTTTCATCGACACCATTGAAAGTTCTGAGAGAAGCAAAACCGGACTAAAGGATAGAGAAAGGATAGAGAATATTGATTTCAATTAACACATATAGTTAAGCAAGAACAAGGTATGAATACCCTCCAGTCCCTTCTATAGAAACGGATTAGTTGCTTCCTGATCTTAGACACGGCGGTTCGGATTCAGTCTAGTAACTCCGCACAATGGTATCGTTACAGACGAATTTCACGCTTCATATGGCAACGCATAATACCGGCGACCCGAAGTGTCCCGAATGCGGTAGAAAATACGCCCGGATGGCGAGCCTCAAGTCCCACATGTTGCTGCACGAGAAGGAGGAGAATCTTTTCTGTACAGAATGCGAGGATGCCTTCTCGACGAAGGTGAGTTTTTCATTATCCTCCCTCGTGAGAGCGGTCTAAAGTTAAAGCTGTAATCTAGCATTTACGCACAGTCTCTCTTTGAATTACTGCGAACTTTTGTAGGGAGCAGAGATTGCTCCGAGACGTTCAGTGGTCTCGGAAAGACGTAAAAGCCATACATTACTTATCGATGCTCTATTTTGTCAGCGCTTTTCTGCCGACTCGATAACATTTGCAGATATGATCATTACTATCCTGTTGCATTCATCCGCTTATTACGCTTTCTTTCGCATGAATACCGATCGTTTGTAATCTCCGCGAAGTTTCTCTCTCGAGGAGCATCGTTTTGCTGTCCGACTCGATTAACAGGGCCTGTTTATCACTTAAAGTTTAAACCACGACGATCACTCAGCTCTGAAGAGCCGAAACTATCCGACGAATATGTCGCAGACGATGATGACAGGGGTCGGGTGACCCGCGAGAATTTATCTAAACCCTGCCAGCCGAAATCGTGCGATCGTAGAAAAAGATAGGGATTCTCACTGTTGCGACGAACCGGACAAATAGAGGAGATGATTTAATGATTCCCTCGAAGACTGAGAGGGCATTATCTCATAGCGTCGGCGAAGTATGCCAGCACGGCCTTGCTAACTTCGTCGTTTAACTGTCTCGCTCTCACGGACGTGCTATTAGTAACATTTCGATAGGAATAGAATGAATGAGTCGTGTCGTTCGATATCCAAATTCCCCCGAGGAGAGCAGACTGCCTGGGAAGCGTTGTTGAGCGCGTTCAAGCGGACTTTCCCGAGTTTACGGAGACAATAACGATTAATTGGGATCGCTCGCCGATGGTCGAGTGACCGTGATAAGGCGTTACGTGGGCCGTAAAACGACGACGAGTAGGCGGTCCGTCCGTATAATGAATTACGCAACTGAATCGCATGATCTCACGCAGATCTCCCGTCGATTGCGCTTTTTAGCGCTTCTTGCCGACTGTTGTACGTGAAATGTAGAACGCACGTTATCCGCGTCGTTGTTATTTCAGCGTACGAATAATCGGTCTGAATGGAAGAAGAGAGAGGGAGAATCGAGATTCAAGACACTTGAGATACGTAATTGTGTTAATGTCTCTCGAAATGAAAGAAGAAAACGATGCGCTTTTTATAGCCATGAAAGCACCAAGATAATTATTGTATTCATACTCGGGACGATTATTTTGAAGAGAATGGGAATTAAGGAAAGGAGAGTCTACGCTTCAAAGATGACATGTTGTTACATGCGTGAAGAGAAAATGTATTGAGAGAAAGCACAAGAGCAAGTATTTGCTTATAGGAACGTATTTCTTGATGTAAAATATGTTATTGCACCAATTGTTCTATTATTGTGTACCTATATGCGCATTAATAATGAGTGTAGAGAAAGAAAAGAAGAAAGCGATTGCTTGGAATAATAGCAGATGCGTGAAAGCACGGAGGAAAAATCCCTTTGGTGCAATTTTCAGCGCGAATAACTATTTATTCTTGTAATCGGCATTTTCCAAGTGTGACCTAAACGTGCGGTGTACATGGAGAAAATATCATGGTAAAAATTACCCCAAAATTTTGTACGAATTCTGGTCTGCGCCGGAATTATTATTGAAATTATGATGTATGTTATAATCTTTAGAGATACACCACTGAAGATCACAATAGGGGTCATAATTATAATTTCAGTATAGCATTACAAAGTTTCGTGGTAACTTTTTCTACAATATTTTCTTTGTATAGAGGAACGAATCGACGAGCATTAACGAGAAGAAAGGATCTCACAGACGCAGTCGTAGCTTAAATCGGTGCTCTATCTATCCCGACGGGAATCCGAGAGCATATCCGAGAATGCGAACTCTCGCGGGAAGAGAGACGGAAAGAGAGCCGATAACGTATGACGACGTATATGACGATCCCGACGACAACGTAAGCGACATTTACAGACGGTTCGTCAGTGAGCAGCGAGTATTCGTGAAGCGTGCACGTGCTCGCGGGTTTGTCATCGTTCCCCCGCGACGAGATGCGCGAGATCGAAAGGCGTCGCTCCCGCTGTCACGTCGCGAGCACTTATCGCTTCTTGAACTTTGGTTCCGCGCCCACTCGTGTCCGACGATTTCCTATCGAGCGCGAGGACGAAAGGGCTCGAGGAAACAGAAGAGTCGCGATCGTACCCCCCCTCCCCCCCCCGACGTAAATCGTCTCCTAGCGCCGATTGACAGTTCTTCTGCTGTGTTTTGCCCGCCAACAGAGTGTCGACCAAATCCATCGTCGCCGGGGAAGATTATCTCCCTCGCGACGCCCGACCACGGATTTTTCCTGGCGCCGGACTTGAAGGGTCGTCCCTTTCCCCGAATGCCGAAGATCTGTTTCCCTCCTCGTATGCGAATGGTGAGGTTTCTCCAAATTTCTCATCTCACGGGAAATTGAGCACAAGCGATCACGGTGATGTGTTCGATGCTCAGGTGCGGCGAGATCGCTCGGGAGACGAGGGGCGGCGGAAGAAAGGAACGAAAGAAACGCGCCGATAATGTGCCGTTACACGCCGCTTGATAAGGCCGAACCGTTGAACTTTACCGAGGAGATGATGCGGCTCTCCCGATAACTCGGCTGTTATTAATAGCGTTAACCCTGAAAATTGTTTGATTCCACGGGACACTTCGAGTCGAGATTCGCTAATCCGCAAGATATACGCTCGATTCAGCGATTCGAATCGTAAGCGACGTCGTTCGACGGCGCCTCGCCGTACACTGAGAGAGGAAAATGTAACTATAATCATCGTATGTGAAAGAAATATAGTCGGCAGAAGCTTCTCTTAATAAGTGTTATCACAGTGTTACTGGTAATAAGCTTATATACAGAGGCTATATATGCTACATATATTGTTATTTTTTTGTTGTTGAAACCGTAAAAACAGTTGAATATAAGCGCACTGAAGAAAAAAAGCCCTACCGCTCAAATAACTATTAAATATTTCAGTTCATATTTTCGAAAATCTCGACAAGTATTAAATTCGTAATATTGAGAATTCATTTTTAGAAAATATTTATTGGACAGCAAAATCTAAGCTTAAAATCCACCAGATTTCTTCCACGGAAAAGAAATATTATATAATTGTAGCAAATATTCTTTTAAATTTAGAACTGTTTTATATTTATATTTAGTAATTCATTTACATATTAAAGTTTAATTGTTGAATTCAAATAAGTATTTACTACAAACAATTAAAATATACTTAAATCGACATTACTTGATCTAAAAGACAGAATTGCATTCACTTGATTTCTATATTTATTTATTTATTTTTTCTTTAGAGAAAAAGGTATTATACAATGCACCTTTTTCTCTATGCGTAATTTATAATTTAAAAAAATTTTTTAGTAAAAAAAATAAAAAAAATAGTTTTTTGCGAAAAATTGCTTTTTTGCTACTCAAAATTTTATCTCTCATAATATTATATAACTTTTGTTTGAAACATTTTTCGAATAATACATTTCTTTTAAAACATTAATCTGTGACACTACATGGGCTACCCAATAGTTATTTCTTATTAAGACGAATTTAAAAAAAGTTATGCACATTGATAACATATTATATATATATTTTTTATACATTACATATTTTTTTTGCATATTTGTTGACGACGTATTCAGTTGTAATTCTTTAAAAGTAACATGTTATTGCTTAACCCTTTGCACTCGAGGGCTCCGGAGCGGAGCCATTTAAAATTTGTCTCCAAACTCGAGGGCTCCGCTATGGAGACAATGCAAATAACTTTCAGTTCATAACATAAGGACAAAGATAAATTGTAAAAACTATTGTGTATAGGATATTCCGTTCTTGCTATTTGCATTTGAGTTTGAAGAGTTTGAAGACAAATTTTAAATGGCTCCACTCCGGAGCCCTCGAGTGCAAAGGGTTAATATATATTAACTTCATTTAACTTCGGTTACGCAATTATTTTCTTTATGGAAAGAAATAAATGTGGCAAGTTTTAACCGAAATAAATTTTAATTTCACACACGTGACTTTTTCCAAAATAATTTTTCTATTCTTGGAAAAGAAGCCGAAAAAATTTGCAGAAAATTGAAAAATAAACTGGTTTTTTTTAACTTTCAAAATTGTTGTATAATTTCTCTCTCTCTCTCTCTCTCTCACTCTCAGTGTAAAGTATACAGTTCTCTCTCTCTTTTTCTCTTTTTCTTTTGTAGAAGAAGAAACGCTCCGAATGACAGTGATCTCCCGAGGGGCACTGTTTATGCATGCAGCAATAATAATCGAAGCACAGAAACGCGCATACAGCTCTCTTTCGAGAGAGAGAGAGAGAGAGAGAGAGAGAGAGAAAAAAGACTTCGCGCGTGCGAGACTTCGTTCGACGTGAACAGCCCGCGCGGCGATTTGATACGGGGAAATCGATGACGTCTTTCTCTCTCTCTCTCTCTCTCTCTCTCTCTCTCTCTCTCTCCATGAGGTTGTATTTTGGGATCGCCACGGCCCCGTGAAAGAAGAGAACACCGTGCCTGTCGCCCGGCGGTCGACAGAATCGTTCGCGTTGCTCGCATGACCGACGCGAGCCCGCTTGACACGCCGCCAATTGTTCGCGTGCCGCTGCAACAATGATTGGTCGACCTCGTTCCCGAGAGAGTTCCCGGCGAATTTCGACCTCCAAAGCGCAGCCCCTTCCGTTCGCGGGGTTCTTCCACCCAGTGTAATCGCTCCCAACGCTACGGAGAGCTTCGTTGAAGCTTCGTCCGTGAGATCAAACATCCTCATTTGGGTCGATCAATTCGACAGTGTCAAAATTTTCCCTACGCGTGAGAGAGGTACCGAATAGTGAACAACGAGCAAACGTCAGATGACCGGCGAGGATGCGCTCGTGCTGTCCTCGAGGGTGGGCGGTATATCGGAGGTTGTTTCCTGAATCGCTACGTCCGACGTGATTAGATGTTCCGCTCTCCGATGCGCCGTGAAGGAGCGAAATACACGCTGATCCGGCCTGCACAGAGTGCATCTTTCTGATGGCGAATCAGATAAAATCTGGGGTTGCGCGAAGAAGAGAGGCATATTATCTCTGATTTATTTCGAATACAATATTGACAGGCGAGTGTCCGATTTTTTAATTATTGCATCCTCACGTTCGTCGCATTCTAGGACGCATTCAAAGTTCACAAGATCGGCGAAATCCTCGTTGACCGATGGAACTTTCCTCATCCGGAAATTAGCCTCGGCTGTCGCAAAAATTTAATCGTGACTTCTACCAGAGGAATCGCGGCACTCGGCGTCTGAAGCGTTCGAGATGCGAGCGGGTCCCTCGTCGGTGAACCGAAATCTCATTGTCGTGGAGCAAACACGGGAAAGGGGAAGCGGATCTCGAAAGAGAGAAACGCACGTGGAGGAGGAGGAAGAAGAAGAAGGAGGAAGCAGAGAAAGAGGAGGGGAAAGAAGAAACGGCAGGTCGCACAGGGAGGTCAAGCGGAAGAGGAAGACGGCTGTTCGTGGGTGGAAGAGAGAGGAGCCGCGACTTTGGGTAGATCAATCGGCGCGCGGGGAGGAAGTTGCTGGACCACGAGCGGCGTGCGTGCCGGAAAAAGTGCAATGTCCTCTTTCGGACGCGCGATACCAGTCGCGTCGCGCGGGAATTAAGAGAGAATCTCGACGATCACGCGGGATTTGTCTCGCCGGTACCAGAATGCTGCGAGCAGAACGGGAGGGAGAAAGAGAATGAAAATTTTACCATACATATGCACTGGGATATGAATTCCTGGGGAAAGAAAGACGGAGAAGGTAGAGGAAGAAGGGTGATGAAAAAAGAAAGAGATATTATTGTATATAATTCCGCACACTGCGAGTTGAAATCTCTCGAAAGAGAAAGAGAGAGAGAGAGAGAGGGAGAGAGGCGGAGAATAGGGAAGAAAAGGTACAAAGAGGAAGAGGGGGAGAAAAGGAGAGTGAAACTCGCGTTTTTGCAGTTGCCCGCACGCGTCGCGAGCACGTGGATGCGTTTAACAAAGCGTCGCGCACGCTAATTGATCGGGCACCCGTGAGTGAGGAGGTTCACTTCGCAGATCCACCGTGCCCGTTTGATCTCGACTTGGTCCCGCGTTTCTCCCCGGTGCTTCCCGGCTCGGTGAGAGATGATGGCAAATGCCGAAATGCTTCGAATTCGTCGTCTGATAAAACTTCATTCTTCTACTCGCGAAATACTCAGTTTCATCATCGGGATGCAATTTCATATTCGGCAATTTTGTGTTCACTCGCGTTATCGCGCGTAAATCTCGATGAACGCGCGCCTTAGACGCACGAGCGATCAAATGATCACGATGATAATTCGGTGGCGCATACTGCGTTCGATGCCTGTGTTCGTCCTACTTTTTGCTCCGAGCACTGCCATATAAGTACTCACTGCCCGCCGGCGCGTATTACTTTATGTCGCATGATATAAGTCGCAACGCTGTCCTCCGATATGTCGTTCACCGTAGACTGCTTGAATTACGCGCTTCTTCTCATCTGCACGCGTGTATTCCATCTAGCTCTTGGAATCAGCGCTCAGTATTACAAGGTACATCCTCTAACTAATTAATCAATTGCAAGGATTTACCTCGAAATTTCTCATCAGCAGAATCGATCCGTTAATCGTATATAATTGTTAGTTTAAAAGATTGAAAAAAATTGCATGAATTATATCGTTACTCGTTCATGTGTACAATTTATTAACGTGTCAATTATATACGTTAATAAAGTTATCAATTTAGACTTTTTTTTTTTTTTTGTTTAACCCCTTTGTACTCGATGGCTCCGGAGCGGAGCCATTTAAAATTTGTCTTCAAACTCGAGGGCTCCGCTATGGAAACAATGCAAATAATTTTCAGTTCATAACATAAGGACAAAGACAAATCATAAAAACTATTCTGTATAGGATATTCCGCTCTTGCTATTTGCATTGTCTCCATAGCGGAGCCCTCGAGTTTGAAGACAAATTTTAAATGGCTCCGCTTCGGAGCCCTCGAGTNTTTTTTTTTTTTGTTTAACCCCTTTGTACTCGATGGCTCCGCTTCGGAGCCCTCGAGTGCAAAGGGTTAATAAAAAGAGGAATTTTTTAATTGACAATTGACATGTGTAATTGACGTATTAATAAATAACAATTAATTGATTGATTTATTAATATAATGAATAAAATTAAATATATATATATATATTTTTTTTTTTTAATGTTCCTTTTTATTTAATTTTTTACTACATTTCAGTAGTAAACTTCCGAATTTAAGAGAATAACAACAACCGTCACCTTGATGTTTTCAATAAATTTGTATTCGTTTGTATCTTCAGACTCAATTGGACGCGCATTTGAAGCTTCACGGGGAGAAATGGGCAAGCGAGGACGTGCGAAAGTGTAAATTATGTAACAAACAATTCGTGCAACCGGCGCTCTATCGACTACACATCCGCGGACATTACAGGGTAAGTTTAAACGTATTCGATAAGCAGATCGATAACATTGGCGATACTTCTCTTTTTATTCTCTCTATTATAAAACGGCAAGGAAAACGTTCGTACTTCCTTCTTTTTTCCTCGAGGACGCCATTGCACTGCCTGATGAACGGACCCTGCCTCGTTCGTTCTTATCGCATTTATTCCTCCGCAGCAACAGACAAAGATAGTGAAGCAAACCAAGAGAGGGGCGAAGCACAAAACGATGTACAAGTGCACCATATGCTTGAAATCCTTTCAAAAGCCGAGTCAGCTGATGCGTCATATCAGAGTGCACACCGGGGAGAAGCCCTTCAAGGTACGATTGTTGAGAGATGAATAATATCAATAGACGAGAGCATCTTCTAGTGTCACTTCGCTTCACCCACGCTTTTATTTGCGCAGTGTAACGTTTGCAGCAGAGCGTTCACGCAAAAGAGCTCGCTGCAGATCCACGCGTGGCAACACAAAGGCATTCGTCCGCACTCCTGCAGTCTCTGCAACGCTAAGTTTAGTCAAAAAGGTTCGGGAATTCAGCTCGCCGCAATTCAGACCTGTAAACCAGTACTGCGCTGTATTTGTCCGTTCTTTTTTTCTTCCTTGTCTTATCAGTCATATTCGTCGCACCTTAGAGCCTTGGCAGAATTGACTTGCAATTTTAAGCCAATATCCTGAATCTTTGTCTCCAATTATCATCACTTTTTACTTGTTTATCGTACAGCGGTTTGTCGTCAGTCAAAGAGAAAGGATTTTTAATTTGAGATTCCGGGCATAAAATAGTTATTGTGCAATACTTGAGAATTTATTTTGCCCATAGCTCTATGAGAAAATTATTCAAAAATTGATCTACACGGCACTTAAAAGTGATATCGAAAGTTTGATAGTAATTCAGAGCCTGGATAAAAAATTATTCCGCTTTATCGAAGGAGGTTGTAAGGTAAAATGAGTTTAATGAGAATTCGATGAAACTTACACTGCGTATATATTGAAATATCATCTGATTGCTCGTGCAATTAGAAAAATATTCCAGATATTCGTAACTAAAGTTGACACTTTTTATATATGTTCTTCGTGGGATTAGTTTGTTATTTTTAATTTATATTTTAATATTTCCTAAAAAAAAAATAAGATTTCGATGAGAAACTAATACTAAAGACTAATATACGGATATTATAAACAAATTTGAAAATTATTGATTATTTTGAAAATATAGGATGTAAAATTCATAATTTATTTTTTATAATATACTCG